AATACCATTTGCACATCTGAACGGTTGCGTCTTTTTATCGCAACCTTTCGTTTAAATCAGTTATTTTTTTACGGTTATGTCTTTTTATTGACTTTCTCTTTGAATTTTCGTTGAATTATTTACGGTTATATTTGTTCAATTACGGTCGTATCTTTTCAGTTTACAGTTATATCTTTATAATTGCATTTATTCATTTAAAGTTACGTATTTCCACTATATAATTTCATTGCATTTTTTGTATAGTTAGTAATACTACGAAGTTATTTTACATCAACCATTAGACTACATATCAAATTGGTTTTATTAATCAAAATAACAACCTCAATAAATGCATTTTGCACTTTTGAACGGTTGTGTCTCTTTATCGTAACTTTCCGTTAAAATATTAACGGTTATTTTTTCGGGTGTGTTTTTTATCGCAACTCTTCATTAAAATATTGACGGTTTTTTGTGTTTAATTATCGCAACTCTTCATTAAAATATTGACGGGTTTTTTTCGGTTGTGTCTTTTATTGCAACTTTCCGTTAAAATATTGGTTGTTACTTTATTCGTTTATGTCTTTTTATCGCAGCTTTCCGTTAAAATATTGACGGTTATTTTTTCTCGGTTGTGTCTTTTTATCGCAACTTTCCGTTAAAATGTTGACGGTTATTTTTTCTCGTTTGTGTCTTTTTATCGCAACTCTTCGTTAAAATATTGACGGTTAATTTTTTAGTTGACGGTTATTTTTTGGTTGTATCTTTTTCTCGCAACTTTTCGTTAAAATATTAACGGTTACTTTTTTCGTTGACGGTTATTTTTTTGTTGTGTTTTTTTCTCGCAACTTTCCGTTAAAATATTGACGGTTACTTTTTTCGTTTCTGTTTTTTATCATAACTTTTTTTAAAATATTGACGATATTTTTTTCTCGATTGTGTTTTTTTTTTGTCTGTTAAAATATTGACGGTTATTTTTTTCTCGGTTGTGTCTTTTATCGCAATTTTTGCTAAAATATTGACAGTTATTTTTTCTCGGTTGTATCTTTTTATCGTAACTCTTCGTTAAAATATTGACGGTTAATTTTTTCGTTGACAGTTTTTTTTTCGGTTGTGTCTTTTTATCGTAACTTTCCGTATTGACGGTCATTTTTTGTAATCTTTCCATCGCAACTTTCCGTTAAAAGTTTGACGGTTATTTTTTCTCGGTTGTGTATTTTTATCGCAACTCTTCGTTAAAATATTGACGGTTCATTTTTTCGTTGACGATTATTTTTTTGGTTGTGTCTTTTTATCGCAACTTTCCGTTAAAATATTAACATTACTTTTCTCGTTTGTGTCTTTTTATCGCAACTTTTCGTTAAAATATTAACGGTTATTTTTTCTCGGTTGTATCTTTTTGGACTAGCTCTTTGTTAAAATATTTACAGTTACAATTTTTCATTGATGGTTATTTTTTCGGTTGTGTCTTTTTATCGTAACTTTCAGTTAAAATATTGACGGTTTCTTTTTTTGTTTTTGTCTTTTTATCGTATCTTTCCGTTAAAATATCGATGGTTTCTTTTTCTCGGTTGTGTCTTTCTATCGCAACTTTCCGTTAAAATATTGACGGTTATTTTTCTCGGTTGTGTCTTTTTATCGCAACTCTTCGTTAAAATATTGACGGTTATTATTTTCCGTTTGTGTCTTTTTATCGCAATTTTTCGTTTAAATATTGACTGTTATGTTTTTTTCGGTTGTGTCTTTTTATCGCAACTCTTCTTTAAAATATTTACGGTTACATTTTTCGTTGACAGTTATTTTTTCTGATGTGTTTTTTTTATCATAATTTTTCGTAAAAATGTTGACATTTACTTTTTTTTTGTGTCTTTTTATCGTAATTTTTCGTTAAAATATTCTCGATTGTGTTTTTTATCGCAACTTTCCGTTAAAATATCGACGGTTATTTTTTCTCGGTTATGTCTTTTTATCCCAAGTCTTCGTTAAAATATTGACGGTTACTCTTTGTGTTGACGGTTATTTTTCTGGTTGTGTTTTTATATTTTTTTAGTTTTGACCCGCTAGAATTTTTCCTCTCTATATATATTATAACTCTTCGTTAGTTATTTTGTCACTTATAAATAATTTTCTATTCACAAAAAATGTTTCAAAAAGTGTTTTTTAATCATAATTGTTTTTTTTACATTTTTATTCATAAATTTTATTTTAATATCTTTAGAAAATATTTACGATATAACTTTAAGACATAGTTAATTTTATATAATAATTCAATTATTTGAATATATTATAATAATAATTTAATACATAAACGTAATAAAATGTATTTGTTGATAATGAATTCCCCGCGATATCGCGGGGTTCATAACCTAGTAGTGTTAATATGACTGTAATTGAAAGCCAAACGGTGGTGAGAAGGTGGAAGAAGACAAGAAGCAAAAGTGGGAAGATAATTAAATGTCTTTCTCTATCTCAAAGTCGTTGACTTTTGTTGTAGAGTGTCTCTTACTGACCAAAGACAACAAAACCACCATTAGAAGTGTTCTCAATGTAAGACGCATTTCCTTGTACCAAATGTCAAATTGTCTGAATTGCCCATCCACCGAACATGAAGTCATTTCAGAGATGAGGATTTTTGTGTCATTTTCTCAAAATCTGGTGTTGCTTTCCTTGTACCACACGATCCGTATGGCTCATCTAATGCCCATTTAATCAGCCAGAGAAGAAGAAGAAGAAGAAGAAGAAGATAGATTAGGGGTTTTCATTTCAGAGTAGCCCTAATCCAAATTCGAAATCTTTCTTGTGATTTTGATCTCTCCGATCATGTCATCGGTCTGTGTTAACGAAGCATTAACCGATGACGAGCTGAGATGGGTATTGTCGAGACTAGACAGTGACAAGGACAAGGAAGTGTTTGGTTTGGTCTGCAAGAGGTGGCTAAATCTGCAGAGCACCGACCGGAAGAAGCTAGCGGCGCGTGCTGGTCCACATATGCTCGGCCGTCTCGCTTCTAGGTTCACTCAAATCGTCGAATTGGATTTGTCTCAGTCAATTTCTAGGTCATTTTATCCAGGTGTTACTGATTCTGACCTCGCTGTTATCTCTGAGGGTTTCAAGTGTCTCAGAGTTCTTAATCTTCACAACTGTAAAGGTATCTACTTTTTGTGGTTAAACAACAAAAAGGGTTTCTTTTTTCCTATCTTTCTCTGGATTTCATATCTGATTTGATTAAACTTGAATTTGAAGGATTGTTTATGTATGGTTAATAATCTTAAGAAGCAGTTGCTATTGTTTTCTAAGACAGTTCAGGTGTTAGATTTTGATCTCTGGTGTTTAGGTTTCTTGCTTACTTCAATGTTGTTTGGTTTTGTCCCTTTGTGTATGATTTTTATTGTAATCCATCAGCTTTAAGGGGTTTTAGTTTGAGAGCGTCTTAAGAGACCTGGGATAATATGATTTTCTATGATTGAGTTCTTCTTTGGCTCATTGTATTGGTATGAATGTTCTTGAGCACTAGGGTCTTTGTTTTCTCACATATATGTTGTTGTGATGGTGGAACAATCCTAAGGTCAGAATTTTGCTTACCTCTTCGTCTTCTGGGAACAGGTATTACAGATACTGGTTTGGCCTCAATTGGAAGGTGTCTTTCTTTACTGCAGTTTTTGGATGTATCCTATTGTAGAAAGCTCTCAGATAAAGGATTATCAGCTGTTGCAGAAGGCTGCCATGATCTAAGGGCATTGCATCTAGCGGGTTGTCGTTTCATCACTGATGAATCGCTGAAATCACTCTCTGAGAGATGCCGTGATCTTGAAGCTCTCGGGCTACAAGGCTGCACCAATATCACTGATTCAGGCCTTGCTGATCTTGTGAAGGGATGCAGGAAGATAAAATCTTTGGACATTAATAAATGTAGCAATGTGGGAGATGCTGGAGTTTCCAGCTTGGCCAAAGCTTGTGCATCTTCCCTCAAGACGCTCAAATTGCTGGACTGTTACAAAGTTGGGAACGAATCTATATTGTCCCTGGCACAGTTTTGCAAGAATCTGGAAACTCTGATAATCGGTGGATGCAGAGACATCTCTGACGAATCTATCATGTTACTGGCAGATTCCTGCAAAGACAGTCTCAAGAATTTGAGGATGGATTGGTGCTTGAATATATCTGACTCTTCCCTTAGCTGCATTCTGAAGCAGTGCAGGAACTTGGAGGCTCTAGATATCGGTTGCTGTGAAGAGGTCACAGACACTGCTTTCCGAGAATTAGGGAGCGACGATGTTTTGGGATTGAAGGTTTTAAAGGTGAGCAACTGCACAAAGATCACAGTAACAGGGATAGGCAAGATTTTGGACAAATGCAGTTCCTTGGAGTATCTAGATGTAAGGTCTCTTCCACATGTGACAGAAGTGAGATGCAGTGAAGCTGGTTTGGAGTTCCCCACATGTTGTAAAGTTAACTTTTCGGGAAGTTTAACCGAGCCAGATGTTCTGCTTTGATCATTGATGTTGGGATCTTGTTACTTGGAGGAAAGATTCTGGTCTATCCTAAACCCTTTGTGATCTCTCTGTATCTGTCTCGTGTATGGGCACACTCATGGCTTATGGACCATCAGTGAGTCCTCTCTAAAGCTCTTGTATATTTTTGTGCATTAAATATTTGATGGTGGCGGCTGCTTGAATATTCTTCAGTTGCTTTGCAAAGTGTGTAGTTGTTGCTGGATCTGCTTCTCCTTAAGAGTAAAAAAAGGTTCAGCACTTGATATTTGTAAACTCTGATTCTCAATGTATTACAATAGAGCAGTGTTGCCCTAGAGCTTTTGTTGTGATCAATGAAGCTCTATGATTTTCTTTTGTTGAAATGGAAGAAGACTTCTCGTTCTTCTCTTAGGGAATACTGTGGATCTAAATGTTTGAGATCAAGATTATGAAATGGTATGTACTCATTTATTTATGTTCGATGCATCCCATGACACTTCTTTTGACATGTTTTTGGTGCAAAAAAGAACTGTAAATTAAGAAAAACAGATGAGATCTGCTAAGTAATTCCATTTCTTTCTCGGTTCTACAATTGAAACCAAAATGGGTAAAGGAAAAAAATAATGAGTTTGTACAAGCAATATTGTCAGTCTCTTCTAGGCTCTTTACTAACATTCTCTGATTGAAACAGGTCAAAATAGAAATGATATATTTCCTCTTCAACCTATTGCTCATCATTGTTTAGCGCTTGCTCTAGACAATTGAAAGCTTTCTGGTAGCTCACAAATCCCATGAACCAGAAGTCAAAGCCGTCGACCGTGACAACTTCAAGGTACTTTTGAGATGGCTTCTTTGTGTTCTGACTCTGGTTTACTCCATTGATCTTGCACAATGGGATTGAAACTTTGTAGTGAACCCTATTGAGATCTCCTTGAGGAGAAGCCACCTTGATCGATCTTTCGCTGCAGAATGCAATTTTCTTTGATGAGATGAAGAGTAGGCCCCCGATGGGACCTGCAGTTGTCGATAGGTAACATTGGTACGCCTTGAACAGTTTCTCATCATTGCAGACCTTGAAGAGTCGCTTATAAATCTTCTCTAAGCCTCCCATTTGAAGGATCTTAGCTCCCAAAGATAGCTTTCTCTTGACTGTTTCAGTTAGCTTGGGTCCTAACTTGTCCTGATCTCTAGCTCCGTTTGTGAAGCTATCGGTTTTCTTCTTCCGCAGCATCGATTTTCCTTTGCCTGTTAAAAGAGAATTCTTTGAAGAAGTTGGGATTTGGAGCTTGTTGATGGAAGCTGGGTCAGGCAAGTAACTCATCGTAGCAGTCTTGGCAGCAGGAAATGCAATAACTTGTTGGTGAACTCTGCTCAATGTCATCTTGGAGGATTGAGTAGTGATCTTGATTCTTGATCTTGTGAGAAAGAGAGAGAGAGAGGGAGAGATTGTGAGTAATGGTTGATGATGAAACGGTGTTGGTGGGAAGGTATTTAAAGGGAAAGACACAGAGACAAGAGGCAGTTGAAACAAAGCTTTGAATTGAGACCTTTGTGGTAAAGGCTGAGTCATGGATGGGTCATCAAGCCACCTAGATAAAGCTACTTTCTTTGTGGGCATATGCTCTGTTTGTTTGTTTTTTTCTTTTTAAGGAAAAATAAATAATCATATAATTAAAGGAGAAACACATAAATAGAGATTTGCAACTACCAAACCCGTGTTAGGACACAGTTTTGTCTAAAGCAAATTTCTGATGAAATGTTATAGGTTTTTGCAAAAGGGGCTCTATATATCTTCTTCAATATTCCTTTAATTCGAAATTTAGGAGATGCTTTTTACAAATTGATGATCAATTGATCACCTTAAAATTTTTTTTTTTTTTGGGTCAACAATCACCTTCAAGGTTAAATCACAGGCTAAAGTTCTAATATTAGTATTAGAGATGAAAAAAAAGAAAAGTAAATAAAGATCACTCCGACAAGCTTTATTACCTACAAGGCTACAAGTTGGCAAAATTGCAAGCTTTGTTTATTGGTATAAGTAGAAGATAAGATATGTTTCCTAGCTAACTGGAACATCCGAACATGTATGAAATAAGAAGAAATCAAATCAGATATATTACGTAACGTTTCTTGAATCGGTGAGAGCAAATTGAGTCACATGTACAGAACGTTGTGACTTTATAAGCTTTTCTGCGTTGACATTGTGAATATTTAGTGAGCTAAACACCAAATTACTTAATTTGCATGGTTTTATAAAAGCTTATATATGGATGTTTCCCTGGATTCGACAAGTTAAAATTGTAGAAATTGGTTTAAAATAATTGGAGATGATTCTAGTTCCATAGAATCTATCTCTTGGACAACAACTTTGAATTTTCATTGATAATGTACACTAAGATAAGTGATTCCAAAATTTCAAAAAATCATGGAGACCATTTTCGTATGATGGTAAGAACACAAAAGAATAATCATGTACATCTTCTCGTTGAATGCATAAGATTTTTATGATAGATCACGACAAAGTAAACATAGTATATAGCATATATTTGTTTTATCTATTTTTAGTTTATTTGTTAATTGTTAATTTAATATTGATGCATCTACGTGGAAATGACAATGCATGAACGAGCGTGCATGGCAAGGCCAACCCATTTACATATGCACGAATGTCTGGAATCCTCCAGTGACCAAATATATTTCTTTTAGGCTAAGGAAAGATGTTTCTAACGTCATACTTCTTGCCTTTCTATTTTTAGTTGATATACTTTTCTTGTCAAATTCCATCACACACGTCGGAATCAAAATATTAACGATTACAGGATAAAGTATTAAATTACAGCTTTGAATGTGATCCGTCGTGCCCTACTAATATGGATTCTTCTTTTTTTCCCTTTATTTGTAGAACCTTTTTTATGTAACTTTTCTTTGACCAATTAATCAACTATTTCCCCCACAAAGAATTTTTTAAAAAACTCATTTTTATGTGTCGACATATATATTCGATATTGCTCGTATAATATAGTCAAAATATCTTATCCGACTAAGGACATGGACCCCGAAAAAGTTGAACACTATAAAGCTTGAATAGTTTGTGACGGTAGAAATAATAAGGTTACATAATTTTATATAAAATTTGATAATCCTTTAACCAAAAATAAAATTGATATTTCCCATGCTTATTAAGGTAATGGCCTAATGGGTGATGATTAAGGCAATACAAAAATAAAAATAAAATAATGAACGATAAATTAACATAATATTAAATATGGATTTTTATCTATTTCTAGAATTGTTAAGAGCATCATACCATATATTGTTAGAATAATTATATATTCTTTCTTTGAATCCAATGTCTTGATAACAACTACCAAGCGAATCATTCAAGTCTAAACAACTAACTAATCATTCCTTTCTGCCTTTTCATAAATACATGTACCTATTTAAAATCATATATACAATGTCCACTAGATTTTATCATGTATACATATATAAATAAATTTCATAAAATAAATATATTCACTTAACACAAAACAAATAATATACACCATGTGCATATCACATGGGTGACGAATTGATGAAACACCATCTATACTATATGGTGGGATCCATTTGTGTTTTGATTTAATTTTTATATTTATTTTATGGCTTCTTTTTTTTGCTTTTTATATTATAGAAATCAAATATAACCGATATTTCTTATCTTAGCATGAAATAAAAGAAATAAAGGCACCAGAAAGTCACAATGCCAACGCGGAAAGCTCCAAAGCCACGACGTCCCTTCTGCACGACTCAATTTGGTCTCATATATTCAAAAAGCGTTACGTAATATTTGATTTCATATTTTTTTTTTCTTGTTTCATGTTCCAGTTGATTAGGAAACATATCTTATCTTCTATACATGTATAGTATAGATCTATGTGAAAAATTAAACTAAAATCAGGCTAACAAAAAAAGGAGGAAAAGAAAAGCTTGATGATTTGCCAACTTGTAGGTAAAGAAGTTCGTCGGACTCTATCGTCATTCTGTGTGATCAGCTTTTGTTTTTTATTTTATTTTAATATGCTTTTGTTTTATATTTTATTTTAATATGCTTTTGTTTTATTATCTCTAATACAAAAACTAAGTTACCGACGAGCGCTTGTCATCAAGTTTGACACCAAAATGAATGTTTGTTATGGACATGATTATGCTTGAGAACAGACTTGAAATGGTAATTAAAGACTAAGCTACCGACAATGATACAGAAATTTTTTGAGCTAAATTAAACATTTCATCAGTTATTGAAATTAGTTAATAATGTCATAAACACGGACTTGGTAGCTGCAAAACCTTTCTTTATATATCTCTCCTTTAACTAGAAGATTATTTTTCCTCTCAAAAAAGCAAAACAAAGCATATGCTTTATCTTCTTCTCTTTGCCTTTAACCCCAAAGAAAGTGGCTTTTTCCCTGCCTTGATGACCCATCCATGACTCATCCTTTACCACAAAGGTCTCGAGTCTCAACGATTCAGTGTTTTGTTTCAACTGCCTCTTGTTTCTTTTTCTTTCCCTTTAAATACCTTCCCACCAACACGGTTTCATCAGCAACCATCACTCGCAATCTCTTTCTCTTTCTTTCTCACAAGTTCAAAACTCAAGAATCAAGATCACCACTCAACCCTCCAAGATGACATTGAGTGGAGTTCACCAACAAGTCATTGCATTTCCTGCCCTCAATACTGCTCCGGCCAGTTACTTGCCTGATCCAGCTTCCATCAACAAGCTCCAAATCCCAACTTCTTCAAAGTTTTCTTTATTATCAGGCAAAGGAAAATCGATGGTGCAAAAGAAGAAAACTGATAGCTTCACAAACGGAGCTAGAGATCAGGAAAAGTTAGGACCAAAGATAACTGAAACAGTCAAGAGAAAGCTATCCTTGGGAGCTAAGATCCTTCAAATGGGAGGCCTAGAGAAGATCTATAAGCGACTCTTCAAGGTCTGCGATCAAGAGAAACTCTTCAAGGCGTACCAATGTTACCTATCGACAACCGAAGGTTCCATCGCGGGCCTACTCTTCATCTCATCAAAGAAGATAGCATTCTGCAGCGAAAGATCGATCAAGGTGACTTCTCCTCAGGGAGATCTTACTAGGGTTCACTACAAAGTCTCAATCCCGCTGTGCAAGATCAATGGAGTGAACCAGAGTCAGAACACAAAGAAGCTATCTCAAAAGTACCTTGAAGTTGTCACGGTCGACGGCTTTGACTTCTGGTTCATGGGATTCGTGAGCTACCAGAAAGCTTTCAATTGTCTCGAGCAAGCGTTAAACAATGATGAACAATAAACGAAAGGAGCTAATTAGTGCAGGTGGAAGAAGAAATATTTCATTTCTACTTTCACCTGTTTCAATCAGAGAATGTTTGGAGAGAGCCTAGTAGAGACTGACAATATTGTTTGTACAAACTTATTCTTTTTTTTTTTAATTCTTTTTTTGCTTTTCACATTTTGGTTTCCATTGTAGACAAGAGAAAGAGATGAATATATTTAGCTGTTGATCTCAGCTGTTTTCCTTGATTAATTAATAGCTTTTTTTTGCACCAAAACATGTCAAAAGAAGTGCCATGGTACTTATTATAAGAAAACTAACAACGGACCATATATGTTGTCTATTTTGTTGTTTCAGACAGTAACTCAGATACATGACTTTTAAATAATTTAAAGTTCCCAAGTCTAGATTTTGTGTTATATTTAGTTTGAGTTTATAAGTTTCGATATTTAATCAGGCTCTTATATTTTATCACTATTTCTTGGCTTACAAGTTACATGAGACAGTAGCCCTATTCAATAACTTAGTCTATATAACAAAATTGAGCGGCATAATTCATAGATAATTTTCAGTATTGTTTTTTTGTAGATGATTCGGTCATGGCATTCTTTTTACTACCAATATATTAAGATACTGTTTTTGTTCATCTTTGATTTATATTTGTTGAAATGGAAGAAGACTCCTCCTTCCGGAGATTTATTGTTGGATTTCTCAGGGGAAGATTGAGACAATATGGATCTCAAATTTTCTAAAATCAAGATTATGAAATGGTATATGTACTCATTTCTTATATTTTATTCCCATGGTACATGTTTTTTCCTATGTATTGTTCTTCTTTTGATATATTGTGGTACGAAAAAAGGACTGTGAATTGGGAAATTAAACAGATGAGATCATCTAAATATATTCAAATCTCTTGCTCATGTTTACGATGAAGAACAAAAGGGATATAAGGAAAAGAAAAAAAATGAGTTTGTACAATATTGTCAATGTTTTCTCCTAACATAATCTGATTGAAGCAGGTTAAAGTGAAATGAAATATTTCCTCTTTAACCCGCACTAATTAGCTCCTCAATGGAAGCAATATATATTGGCTTATCATTGTTCGAAGCTAAGAGAAAGCGCTTGCTCGAGGCAGTTGAAAGCTTTTTGGTAGCTCAAGAATCCCATGAACCAGAAGTCAAAGCCGTCGACTGTGACTACTTCAAGGTACTTCTGAGATGGCTTCTTTGTGTTCTGACTCTGGTTCACTCCATTGATCTTGCACAATGGGATTGAGACTTTGTAATGAACCCTAGTGAGATCTCCTTGAGGAGAAGCCACCTTTATCGATCTCTCGCTGCAGAATGCAATCTTCTTTGATGAGATGAAGAGTAGGCCCGCGATGGGACCTGCGGTTGTTGATAAGTAACATTGGTACGTCTTGAAGAGTTTCTCTTCATCGCAGACCTTAAAGAGTCGCTTATAGATCTTCTCTAAGCCTCCCATTTGAAGGATCCTAGCTCCCAAGGATAACTTTCTCTTGACTGTTTCGGTTAGTTTTGGTCCTAACTTGCTCTGATCTCTAGCTCCGTTAGTGAAGCTATCGGTTTTCTTCTTTCGCAGCATCGATTTTCCTTTGCTTGTTAGAAAAGAAAACTTTGAAGAAGTTGGGATTTGGAGCTCGTTGATGGAAGCTGGATCAGGCAAGTAACCCACCGGAGAAGTCTTGACGGCAGGAAATGCAATGACTTGTTGGTGAACATTGCTCAATGTCATCTTGGAGGATTGAGTAGTGATCTTGATTCTTGATTCTTAATTCTTGACTTTGTGAAAGAGAAAGAGAGAGAGAGAGATTGTGAGGGATGGTTGATGATTAAACCGTGTAAGTGGGAAGGTATTTAAAGGGAAATCAAAGAGACAAGAGGCAGTTGAAACAGAATACTTAATCGTTGAGACTTGAGGACATTTGTGGTAAAGTGATGAGTCATGTATGGGTCATCAAGTCACAGAGATAAAGCTACTCTGTTTGTCTTTTCTTTTTTCTTTTTTTAAAGGAAAACAAAATCATTTAGTTAAAGGAGAAATAGATAAATAAAGTTTTTGTAACTGGCCAAATCCGTGGTATGACACAATTTTGTCTAAAGTAACTTCAGTAACTAACGAAATGTTCCAAATAACAAAAAAGTTGAGGAGTAAAAAGGTCTCTATATATGGATCTTCTTCAAATATATATCTTGATTCGTTTTAAATATTCCTCTTTGAAACTTGGAAGATGCCATTTACAAAAATTAATGATCCATTGATCGACTTAAAAAATCAAATCACATTTTAAAGTTGATTTGAGAGATGCCTAAAAAAAAAGATTATCACACGGAATGACGTTAGACTCCGAGCTTTTTAACCTACAAGTTGGCAAAACACCAAGCCTTTTATTTTTAGGGTGATTTTAGTTTTCCACATATACATGTATAGGGGATAAGATATGTTTCCTAATTAAAAGGAACATGCACGAGACAAGAGAAAATTAAAAAATCAAATCTTACGTAACGCTTTTTTCAATATGTGAGAGCAAATTGAGTCATGCAGAAGGGGACGTCGTGGCTTTGGAACTTTCCGCGTTGGCATTGTATAACTTTCTGATGCCTTTATTTCTTTTATGTCATGCTAAGATAAGAAAGATCGGTTATATTTGATTTATATAAATATACAAAGCAATAAAGAAGCAAAACAAATAGTTAAATAGAAACACAAAAAGGAGATCCATTTGAAATGGATCCCATATAATATTAGATGTAGTATCATCAATTCGTCACCCATGTGATATGCACATACATAAATAGTTAATGGAGATATATTTTATAACATGTATATACCAAAATTTTAGTGGACATTGTGTTTAAATATAGAAGATTGTAATTTATAAATAGGTACATGTATTTTGAAAAGCACAAAGGTGAATGATTAGATAGTTGTTAAGACGTAAATGATTCGGTAGTTGTTATTAAGACGACATTAAAAGAATATGTGTCATAACGATTACTAAGATGCTGATGCACATATATTTTTGTCCGAAATGTCGATTCTACATAATTAAGTTAAATTTTGTACTCGCAAATTTTCAAAATATGTAATAAAATGATCGAGGGTGATATTCTACATTGTATTCACGTACGATATTTTAACGTTTCATAAATGGGCTATATTTTATCTATAAAAATTGTGTTATAGAGAGATTAGGCTAAATGGCTTGTAAATGGTAAAGGAGATCTAGTATGCATTGTAACTTGATCAACAAATTTTTTTACAAAAAATTGTATATGTATTATTCTATCAGTAGTTACAATCTAGCTAGTAAATTATATACTATTTTAAGTTATCGTTCAATGTTTGATTTGCATTACCTTAAGCATCAATCATCCATTAAACCATAATAAGCCTGAGAATTATCAAGTATAATAATGAGCCATATTGTTTCTAGCGTACGCATCACTCATCCACAACGATTCAAGCTATACATTGTTGGTCACTTTTGGGGTCCATGTGTAGTCGGATAAGATATTTTGACTATATTATTATGCGAGCAATATTTAATATTTATGAGTCAAAACTATTTTGGCAAAATGGTTTGATTGGTCAAAGAAAAGTTATAAAAAAAAAAAAAAAAAAAAAAAAAAAAAAAAAAAAAAAAAAAAAAAAAAAAAAAGTTACAGAGAAAAAAGAAGAAGAGTCTATTGGTTGGACATGACAGATCATATTCAAATATGCAATTAAATAGTTTATCTAATCGTTAATATGATGAAATTTGACATTAACAAAAAAGTGTATAAATTAAAATAAAACAAAAGTTCAGAATGTGACGTGGGAGACATTTTGCTTTAGCCTTAAAGAAAGATTTGGTGATTGGAGGATTTCTAGGGCTTTTCTGGCATGTAAATGGGGTTGGCCTTGCCATGCACCACTCTCGTATGTGCATTGTCATTTCCACGTATTACTATAATAAAACCAAAAATATATATATTAAAGACATTCTCATAGATAGAAAACAAACGGGGATGTGCATTTAGTCAAGTGGTTAAGTCCACTTGACTCCGCCTTCCCCACCGGAGTTCGACTCCACTAAGTCGCGTTACCCCGCGTAGTAGGGATTGGCTATGGATCGGGCCTTGTCGATCCAAAGATGTCAAAAAAAAAAAAAAAAATAGAAAACAAACTTTTCACTTATATAAATTTTTATTAGAAATAGATAGTGTAATGGGGAAATACATTTAATCAAGTGGTTAATGGTTCATACATATATACCATATTTCTATCATTGACTCCACTAAATTACGTTATTTCGAATAACAAAAATTAAAAAAAGTAAAAAATAAAATAAATATTGGATTAAGGATCAAACTTTGAAAAATTGAATGATGTAAAAAAGATAGATAGTATAATTGTTATTACTTTTTTTTCACTGAAAAATTGGCAATTTATTGATTATGTTCACATAGACTGAAGAGACCAATATTTAATATGGACACTATTAAAAATGACGTATTTAGGAAAAATATTGATTATTAAATAAGAAAACTTTATTTTGTTGCCAAAAAAGAAAAGAAGAAAATTTAACTTTTTATCCTAGGATTCTTTTTTATTTTCATTTTCTTCTTAGTTTTACATTGATTTATTTCTTATATATCTTAAACTCTTGTTTATATCTTGAAATTGTCAAAATTATTTATAAAAAAGAAAGCAAAAAGGAAAATTTCATTAACAAAATGATTGGGAGGGGTAAAACTAATTTTGAGAGGTTTCTCGAATGTTCATCTCCACGTGTCCCGATTCAATATTATACTCAGGTAACTTATATTTAATTGTTTGTATTTTTCTTATTTTTACATAAAAATTGTTTGAACGAACATTCTCGAATCTAATTTCGAGAGCTTTCTCGAACGTTCATTTCTACGTGTCTTGGTTCATTATTATATTCACGTAATATTATATTCAAACATTTGTTTTTATTTTTTATGAAAAAATTGTTTGAACGAACATTCTCGAATCTAATAGATTCGAGAACTTTCTCGAACGTTCATCTCCACGTGTCTCAAATCATTATTATATTTATTTATCGTTATATTAAATTTTTTTATTTTTCACTATTTTCTACAAAAATGTTGTTTGAACGAACATATTGAATCCAACAAAAATAATCTAATTAATTTCACTTACAGAAATTTGAAGGAACAACTAAAATTTACAAAAACAAAAACCATTTTTAAGAAGCAAAGGAAAATTAAATCAAAATAAATTATCAAAAAGATAAAAGGAACAATTAATCAGACACACCAACATGTTTCTTCAACTGATTTTCTTGGGTTAATTATTCTCTGGTAATCTGGTTAGTACCCCGTTTACTGTAATAGATCTCGTTTCAATTCTCTTGATGGATCTAGCATAGCATGTGTTCTGGTAATTTTGATTTTTCTTTCTTTGCTAATAAACGAAAACGAATTAGATTGGTCAAAAGTCTGAAAGATAGCCACAGTGGTAAAAAGACTAATTAATTACGTTTAATTAGTCGTTGGCATTATTACCAAGATTGTATACTTTCTGCTTTTTTTTTTAATTATAAGATCTTAGCCAACATCGACTAGTTTTTTTTTTTTTTTTTTGATTAGTTTTTGATTAATCCATTTCTAATATTTTGCAGAAACAATTCAAAAAATCTGTCTTTTCTATTTAAATCAGAAAAAGTAAATAAATAAATAAAAGTTACAAACATGGGGTAATTTAGATTAATTATCTTTAACAAGAAAATTTTAGATTAAATTATAAAATTGAGGGATCAGTTTCAATATTTCTTTTGAATAAATAATCCTTAATAATCATAACTTTAATGGATTATTTATCCAGATGTTAAATCGTAAAAGTTAAACATAAATAAATGAAAATTCAATGGTTAATTTAGTTTAATTATAATACTGAGGGATCAGTTTAAAACAATAGAAACAATAGGGGCCCTTTTTCGAATTATGTCTTATTCCAACCCGGTTTAAGGATCCGAATAGTGTAGTCGGGTTAGAATGTAAACCCCAATTTCAAAATCTGTTTGTAGAGAGAGGGATCGTCTTCTTCATCATCATTAGCTTTAGGAGCTATTGAAGAAGAAGAAGTGAGAAAGCCTCGCATCGTCCTCGGAGATATTTGGTCTGCCTGTGCCGACTGGAGCGCTGATGGTCTCCAAGTTCCTCTTTCGCTGGAAAACTTCGACTCCGACGTTAAACATCACTATCTTCCTTCACTCTCCGCCATTCAGATCTTCACCATCAAACCCTTCTCTGATGATTCAAGGTTCGATTTCTGTTGTCTCTCACTACCATTTTGTGTCTTATTGCTTCATGGGTAATAAGATTTGATATGAAAGTATGTGCCTTTATTACAAAGGCCTTTGTTTGGGTGGGTCTAGCTTTTGGCTTAAGAGCTAGAAAGTTTATGCCTTTTTTGGAGTTTCTCAAGATTCTTCTGTGTTTACTTACATTGCTAACGTTTTTCTTCTGGTTTATGATTAGAAATTTGGCTATTGTAGTGTAGTTCTTTCAAGTAATTTGATTCTGAATGTAGGAGCTCTGCCATTGAGATAGATGCTACAGAGACAGGCTCTGCTAAACCTGAGTCTGACAGCAACTTTAAGCCTCGGTTTTCCGATGATCACTTGGGGTACCTTTATTTTCAATATGATGAGATAACATTGCCATTTAAGAGGACTACTCTAACTTTCAAGGTATCTTATAATTATCTTTATTTCCTTTTTGATGTTGGATTGGTTCTCCAAATTCATTGGTTAATGAAAAGTGTATTTTGTAGATGGAGGATTTAGCTGCGCAGCACACTGGACTGTCTAGTTTGACGAGTTCAGATCTTTCTCCATATAGCTGGATTTCGATAGCTTGGTATGTCGAGTTTCTTACTATCTTATTCAGATTTAGCCTGTTCTTACTTATTTCTTGAATGATTAATTAATTGCTCACTGTGCCCCCATGAGAGATATTTCTATATTAGCCTGTCGTTTCACAACAACTTTCTTTCATATGATTCATGCATTCTTCCCATGATGTGTGTATATTTGATGTTAGTTGTTGTCTTACTCCAAATAAATGACTTTAAATCGTAACTGCTATAATGTTGAATTGGAGTTTGGAATTATTGTAGGTATCCCATTTATCCAATTCCATCAGTGAGAATGAACGGAATATCTGCCGCTTTCCTAACGTACCATTTATTGACGCCAAACTTTCCAGGTACTTTGGTCATTTGAGAATTAACATTACCTTTTCAACCCAAGCATGTTTATGAAAAATTAATTATATGTAAAAGCTATAATAAAGTTGTGCCTGCTAAATTATCTTACATGTGCTTTTGAGTATTCAAGTGTTTTGTAAAGTAATACTTTGACATGTTTATACATATAGTTCCGGTACTTTGTTCTTGTTAAGTTGTATGTTACTTTGGCAAAATGTATCGAGATTGGTTGATTTCTAGTACTACTTTATTCATGGAAGAATTTAGGGATTATGACTGTATATACTTATTTAGGGCTCTTTATTTAATAAGCTATTGAAAGGCAGTAGGTATTTCCTAGTTGGCTACGCCAATGGTAACGAGGTTCCTTTTGGGGAATTTACCTTGTAGTCTCTTTTCTATGCATATGCGATAAGGAGTTATATTATTGGTAGAAAAAAGTACCCTGCAAAGGTAGTTGTAGATGTTCTTTTCAAGTCTTTACTCTATCACAGTGTCCCTTGGATATAGATAAAAGTCATGCATCTGTTATGGTATTAATTTCTTGTGGATTATAAGAGATGGAGAAGTTGCATCTTTGGCGCAAAGGTCTTACCAATCCTAGCCTCTATTTTGTCTGCATAAAAGTCTTATCTTAAGTTTCTAAGTACGTCTTCCTGTTTATACAGACATTTCCTTTTAGCCTGAGCTTGATTCTATTATTTTCTTAGAGCAGAATCAGTTTTTTAGTAAGTACAACTAGTCAACTTCTGGTGATCGTATTGGTGTTAAATAATATCATAAGCTTTTTGGTTTTATAATCAAGTGTTTAATTGATTACATTTTCCATGTTTCTTAATCATTATTTTGTTAGATCTAAACTAGTTTTTTGCTTGTGATTTCTCAGAAACAATTGGTAAAGATGATAAGGGGAATGAACAAGGAGGGTCAAGTACAGCAGAAGTTCTACTTCCTCCATTCGGAGCAGTGACTTACAAGGCCTTTGGTGATATGTGGATCATGCCTGGGACATCAGATTATCAGAAGAGAGAGATGCATGAAGAATCTGCTTCCTCATGGCTGCAAACACGCGGCTTCTCTCACAGCGATTTCAGCTTCTTCATGTCCCATAAGTTTAATGGTGGGCCCTACTGATGCCATCTTGCTGGTGAAATGCTAAGCCTAGCAATGGAGTCTTGTCATCGTATGAAAACATTTCTGCTGTAAAACATGCTCTATCTCTCTATCTCTGACTTTGGTGCTGTCTTTGGCTTCTGCTGTTCTTTACTTTTGAGGATTATTTTTCTTTAAATTTGTCAAGAGGATGATTTTACTTGCTAGTATTTTGGGTCAACAAAACTAAAGGCTCTATTTTATAAGATTTTCATCTGTTCATCTCGGAATGAAGTCTTGAACATATCTGGTACGTCTTAGGATATATGGTATGTGAACATATCTCAAACTAGAACACTGAAACAACAAAATTTAACTCCTCAGTCCTTAATATATGTGATCTTACGTTTGCCAAATGAAGAAAGACAAACTTGTATTTGTCAAACTGGCTAGTTAAAAGTAAGAAAACATGACTTTACGCAATTTACTTTTGATGAAACGAGTTTGTTCGTCTCATATTTATGAATAAACCCGAATCTTACTTAAAATGGAAAAAAAGAACAAAAAAAATCTAATATGAAAAGAATATGTCTAGAAAGAGAGACAGTGCGTGTGAGACAGAAATGAAAAGTGTCATTTCTTCTTCTTCTTGCTATCTTCGGCTCTAATGAGCTGAACAGGAGCTGCGGGTACCCTAAACCACCATTCTCTTATCCGCCTCTCTAGCCGGTCACTACTCGCTTTCCTCCACCCAGTTTCCCTCGTGAACCACTCTACAAATGCAATCGTAATTAAGTACTTCACCGGAACAACCGCCAATATAACCGCCACAACCACAAGCGATATAGCCGTTGTATCTGTAGCCTGAAAACATATTAGAGAGACAAGAGAGTTACTATTAACCGCAGACACCTATTTATCCTAGCCATCATCATCATGTTCTGATATAACATTATACCTGAGGAAGAATTGCAAGAGTAATGGCTCTTATTTTGAGGAGACCAACGTTAACAGCTTGGATTAGCGACTCGAACTGGCTAATTGCATCTTGTAGTACGAGTAGCTGCTCCACTGCGTTTTTACTTGGTGGAGCTTTCACTCGAACAGCTTTTGGTTCTTTCCCTTTGTTGAATTGCTTTCGCCACAGCATTACTATAGCCACTAGGACTAATATGGACGGTAGTATTAAACCGATCCACTCACTGCACAACATAACAAGATTGTTGGTGTCATCACATTTATCACATGTCTTTCTGTAACAAATCAAAACATAGCTATCTGTGATGGAACTCTCATCATTCTTTGTCATCATGTCTTTGAAGATGAAATCATACCTGATAATCAAATAGCTGACCAAGATCATGAACACCGTTGATTTATAAGGATCTTGCCAATAGGCTAAGAGATTTATATGCAAGCCTAGTTTGATGAAAGGTAACAATAGCTCCTGCAGTGAGACTATCGGTTAATAGTAACTATAGAGCAAAGAAAAGGAAAAAAGATGAAGAAGAATAAGACTATCACTTGATACCTTCATAACTGCAACGTTAGTGTCAATTCCTTCTACTTTCACTTGTTCCACAGTCGCCTGAGCAGCTTCAGCTCTATCTGTGTCTAGGATTGACTGTTTCAGAGCTATCTCCAATGGACTCGTCTCTCCAACACAAAAATCTCCTACGATTGTCATTTCTTCACCCATATTTGTCCCAGTTTCTAGATTCAAGCCAAAATGCTCAAGCAATTTGAGTGATACTGGAGATAATTTTGAGGGCCATTTCATATACTGAACAGAATCAACATCAGAAGGGACATCAGTGGTTATACGAGAGACACGACTGGATAGAGCTTCTAAGACCATATCTCCACCGGGGAGACTTTCTGCCAGGTTAAATATAAGCAATGTTTTGTATTGGGAAGAGAAGACTTGGAAAGCTTCCCTTATTGCACGGTACCGGAATATGCCAAGGATTGCTCTTGCAAGTATTTCTGATCGTTGAACCCCTTTAAAGTTGTATCTTCGTATGAACCATTGTACGCGAAGGATCTCCAAACATATTCCCAACCAGTAGTCTCGACGAGCATTGCCTTTAAACTCTGTGAATTCAAAATATACTGGCTCTGGTCTGTACAAACAATACAAGATAGAGCAAAAGATATAAATCCATGAGCACAGATTTTGTTAAGGATCATAAATGAGACAGACATAAGACCATAGTCCACTAGCATACGTACACTATAGTTGATTTATACATGATGGCTTTATCAAATATACGAGCACCCAATGGCCCTGTTAACTCAGGTTTGATGACCTGTTTTGTGTCTTCAGTGAGATCATATCGCATGGCCTTTTCACCACCACCCATTGAATCAAAATATAGAGCATAGTTGGTAAGTGTCAGTTTACCTACAAAAGGAAATGCTTTATAAATATTGAGATGGAAACAAAACCAACCAACTTAAACCACAATTTTCAGGTTTCTCCTTTTGCTTAAGGTATGATATACTGCCAATGTAGAAGATGGACTATATGCAGAGATCTCTCCAGAAGTTTACCAGGCCATGCTGAGATGCCCACGTGTTTAAGAACCGGTAAAACAGGATTTGCACCATCCATATCAAGCACTATTTCTCCCTTGGCAAGCTGAAGATTGGCAGCTGAAGGTCCTAGAGTGCTTTTTGCAGCCTTGAAAATTCTACAAATATACGAAGGGCAAGGAAAACAATAAGAGGAAAAGAAAACCGATATTTTGAGGAAATAGACATCCGCAAGAAATTTTGGGCACAACATCTCTCAGTGTATTTATTTCATTCTAAATCGAGGCCGTGATATCCAAAAAAGATTCATTCCTGCTTTGTACATTAACTGAGCCACAGAATATTTTTTATCATCCTCAACGTTAGCATATAATATAAATTAGCAAGCAATACTCTTTTGACGTCTGAATAAGTAAAATGGATACTAGAGATGTATACTCAAGTATTTTTTTTTACGGTAAGTAGACTCAAGTATTAAAGTACCAAAAAAAGAAACGAAAATTTTAAATCACCTACGATTTATAACACTTAGACAATAAACGAGTAAACAAATGCAGAAAAGCAAAGGACTGAAAAAAGTAGTGGTAAGTTCATACTTGTCAAGTGTGCGGATATATTTGTCATATACGATAAAATGAAGCCTGTGGCCTGACGAGCTAGTCAGTGCATCAAAAAGATTATGTACAGTTATTGCATCTGCAATGGCAGGACAAACCGGAGCAATTCTTGCAAAAGCCTCCTGTCCTACAGACTTTTTTTCATCAACCTATCAAGCATATTTTTCAGGGGGAAAGTCTGTTAAGTCCTTCCAATTATGACTAATGCAGAAGCAAAGGAAGTCTAAGATGGTAATAACCTGCATTGCCATATTTGTGGGACTTGAATAGAATAGCGACCACCCATCCTCATCCTCTGAGTCCTGCTTGGAGGGAGATGCTGCATCCTGAACTTGGCAAAGTTGAGATACAAAGCATAAATCCATATATTTCCATTTATAAAACTACCAACATGGCAAATAAGATAGATTTCTCACTTTGTTTTCCTGCTCACTTGTGACACTGGGAGTCTCCCAGGCAAGCATCATGTCAAACAATAGCTGACGGAACTCTTGATCACTTAAGTAATCAGGTTTTTTCATCACTTGATGAAGTGCCTGAAAAGAGCAGAACTCTAAAAAGTTCCTTGCATATGTCAAGAGTTGCTTAACACTCTCAGGCAACTCAACATCAAAATGATGTTGCAGATCTTCTGTTGGAATGTTAAGGATCCTGAAATTACCAAAAAACAAAATCCATCAAAAATTTCCTCAATCAATTAACACAACAGACATTCCAAGCTCTCATTACCCTAAACAGTAAGGAATAATCACATCGCGTAAATTCCAAACAATAATGATTATGCGATCGCAAGTATAGCCCAGGATCTGAAACGTATATGAATCTCGAAACTGTTAAAGAATCTGAGGATTGAAGAGAGTGTACTTTGAACAGCGTGAGACGACGGAATTGGCGAGAAGAGAGAGCTGAGGAATAGGTTTCGGGGAAGCGATAGGCGACGGAGAAGCATCTCCATCACGGCCAGATGACGATTTCTTCCTCTGGAATAACGATTTCAAAGAACTCTGCTGCGTCCTCATGAAATTCTCCAGCACTCCGACTTTCGCACCGCCGCCACCGTCTTCTTCCATCGGAAATCACCACAATTAATCAGATCAGACAGAATTGGTAATCGTAAACCTAGATTGCTTCTCCGATTCAGATTCTTCTCTTTCCCGTTCAAGCTGTCGCAGACTATGAAGTATCTCTCATAGTCTAATCTGCACGCTTTGCAGTTTTCGTTATTGAGAAAGAACCTTCGATTTTTAATTAACCAAGAGCCATTATTAATTAATGTCTCTAACTCTAATCAAACCGCTCAATTATTTTATGAAAACCGAACTAAACCCAACTCTGTAACATAAACCGTTTGGTTAATGTGGGTAAATAACCAAAGAACCTCAACTTTTTTATTGAAAAGAGAACAATGTTGATCTACACGACCACTGATTATGGTCTTCTACTCTTCTTTTACTTTCTTTTGTTTTTGTTGCCTAGAGAGAAGAATCAAAACAGGAGAGAATAACTTGTAACGCTGACTGACTCCATTGTTGTTGATCTTCTAAAGCTTGGAATTGTTACTGAGAGGCGGGTCTTTGGCCCAGAGAGGCGGGATGATTCTATGGTCTTGCACCGGCGGCTCTTCTTCCTTTTTCTCGGTTTTCTCTTCATCCTCTGTAACTGATTTAGAGAATGCATCCGGATTTGCTTTGATACAGCTTTGCAACGCTACAAATGGATGCACACAGTCTGATCCCTGCAACAACAAACAACACATACAATATCCTTGAGTGAAACTTCTTTTCTCTAAATGGCGCAAAAATGTTTTAACGAAAAAACAACTATCGCCAATGTTTATGATCATTTGAGTTGAGTCTTATAAAGGGCACAAAACGTAAATAAAAGAGAAACATCAATGTGTCAATCTTAGGAGCGTTTTGGTTGAGTTTCCATCATACATCTGATGTTTCAAGCATTTCAGTTGAGGTTACATCATTCTAAACAATCTAATATGTTCAGTTATGGTTTACCTTTTCTTCAGCAGTACTCTTGAGAAAGCAAAGGAATGCCTCGGAGAACTGAGAGCCGCAAGAGCCATTACGCAAATCTGCTATGCAAGGACAATCGAGAGCTCTC